TTAATTATTTTATTTTAAATAGTGTGATAATATTCCGCCTTCGTTACGCTTCGATTGTCATCCTGAGGATGGTTCATCCGAATTATCATGCAAACATAGGAATTGTTGTTGGAATCCTCGTAATGAAGAATTGCATTCTATAAAAGATGTACCTTTGAATATTCCGTACTGCTATTATCCCAGGGGCTGGAGCCTGTATAAGTATGAAAATATCAGTAAAGAGGGAAATGATATTTCTGGATTTTTAAAGCAAATAGGAGAATCCTTTTACAAGGATGATTTACCACTTGTTAAAGTAGAATCGAGTACTGTGGATGATTCTATTCTCCGCATAAAATTATACGATCCTCTGAACAAGAGATATGAACCCCCATGGCCTATTAGAGAAGATCCTCAGCCATTCATTCGGAAAAATGTCGATGCGAAATATAAATTAGATATCGATGATACTAAGCCTGGTTTTAAAGTTTACAGAGCATCAGATAATACAACCATGTGAGCACTGTCTTTTAAAAAGCACTTTTAGATTGAATTGCACAGAATAAATTTAGCTATTGCGTTCGAGAGTAATGTTAAAGTGGACATTAAATTGTGTACATAATTATAACATTTTTCTTAGATTCGATTCCGTGGAGATCGGAGGTTTTATATTTGCTGATCAATTTCTACAAATAAGCGCTCTTTTGCCAACTCATAATATTTATGGTATTGGAGAACACAAAGCAAGTTTGAAATTAAATACTAATTGGCAAATCTTTACATTATTTAATAAAGATCAGCCGCCCATAGAGAATGTATGTTTTATTGATTAAAATACTACTTCTAATAAATTCATTTCGGGCTATACATAAGGTGCTACGATTAAAGACTGAAAATGTTTAACTAGGCAAACCTGTATGGGGCTCACCCTTTCTATTTAATAATGGAAGATTCCGGGAAATCTCATGGGGTTCTCTTTCTCAACAGTAATGCTATGGGTAATGACCTTTTAAATAACTCTTCCTTTTTTCTCGTTTCAAAAATTACATACATCTTTAATTTTCAGATGTGATATTGCAACCATCACCCGGAATTACTTTCCGAACTATTGGTGGTATTTTTGACATATATTTCTTTTTGGGTCCTACCCCCGCAGATGTTATAAAACAGTATTCCGAAATAGTAGGGAAACCAATTATGCCTCCGTATTGGTCCCTTGGTTTTCATTTATGCAGGTATTATCTGGTATCATACACGTTGTAGAGATTTCTTTTAAAAATTTTACTACATTTACAAAACTCTGCAGATTCGGGTATCGAACCTTAGAAGACACAAAAAAAGTATGGAATAGGACCATAGCAGCAGGAATACCATTTGTAAGGTTTTTCGACATATTTGCATATTCTTGCACTTTTCGTATACATAAATATAACGAATTTTTAAATTAATTATTTATAAAGTATATCCATTTTCATTATCTTTTAGGATACTCAATGGAACGATCTAGATTACATGGACAAGAATAATGATTTTACATATAGTTCAAAGAAATTTAAATATTTACCAGAATTTGTGAATGAGCTACACTCGGTGCGTATTATTAGACATGAATAACAACATTTCATCACATTGTCTATTGACATACGTATACACATGTATAAGCGTACCTGCTTATCTAATGAAGGATCAGCTCCGCATCGTCTCAGTTCTTTGAGTTAGAAATTCTTGATCGTTATCTCTGTCGTGCCTGTTTGTTTCAACAGTTTATCAGAAACAGTATCTAGGGTCAAATATTGAATTTATGAGAGGTAGGAGGAAAGAATTGGTATACTTTCAGGAATTAGTGGGAATAATTCGACATCAATTAAAAATGCATTAGTTAAGCGGATTGTGATTGTGTATAATATAAAAGATTATACTGAGATTTGGAATGTATAGAAATTAAATATCTCATAGAGAGGAATGCACTATATTCCTTTGATCGACGCCGGTATATCTGGTTCTGAAACAAAAGGATCTTATCCGCCATATGATGACGGCATAAAAGAAGACATATTCGTAAAAGATGGAACGACCGGTAAACCATTCATCGGCAAAGTTTGGAATTCAGTATCAACTGTATGGCCTGATTTTACGAATCCTAAAGCGAAAGATTATTATTTTCGTATGATGGACACTCTGCATAAGCACTTTGCATACGATGGAGCTTGGATTGTGAGTATCATTTTCTTATTGATTGGTTTACGAGAAATAAAAATGTTAGTTTTCTTATTTAATATTTTGCAGGATATGAATGAACCATCTAATTTTTACAATGGTCAAAAAGATGGATGCTCACAGAATAAATTAGATCATCCAAAATATGTACCTAAAGTTGTAGAAGGTCTGCTCGCGACGAAAACTTTGTGTATGAATGCTAAACATTATTTAGGTGTTCATTACGATCTTCACAATACTTATGGGACAAGTCACGCGATAGCAACAAATTAGTAAGTAGAATGAAGATTGGTAGATTATATTTATTAAAATAAAAAAACAGGTGCACCGTAAAGGTAACTAGAATACGTTGCGAGTACATCTTGGCATTATGGAAATTCTGTAGCTTTTTTTTACTCACTGAATCTTTCAATCTGAGATAAATGTAACATAAATATCTATCTGTATGTAATATAGTGCATTGACTAAGATTAACCCGAAAAAGAGACCGTTTATAATATCACGTTCAACATGGGTGGGGCATGGACATTATGCCAGTCATTGGACAGGAGATGTATATTCTTCCTGGTAATTAATACAAACAAATATTTATTCTTATAATTAGTTAAACACATTGTTAAACATTTCACATTTCTTGTTGTTTGTATAATTATATTAGGGATGATTTAAAAATGAGCATTCCTGCAATTCTAACAATGAATTTTTATCAAATACCAATGGTCGGGGCTGACATTTGCGGTTTCAATGGGAACGCATCAGTAGCATTGTGTAATCGCTGGATGCAACTTGGAGCGTTTTATCCTTTTTCTCGTAATCACAACTCCGATGACACAATCGTTCGTATTTATTAAATGTTTATTTATATAAACTTATTTCATATTCTACATGTACATGTTTCATCACATATACTATATCATTGTAGGAACAAGACCCAGTTGCTATGGGCGATTTGGTAGTAAAATCATCCGTGCGTGCCCTTACGATACGTTACTGGTTGTTACCGTATTTATACACGCTATTTTTCCGCGCGCATCAATTTGGAGAAACTGTGGCGCGTCCATTGTTTTTCGAGTATGCATAATTGCTTATGACCTATTTTCCACATTGTTACAAGATAAAAAAATTTGAAGTTGTAATAAGCAGTATTGGGAAAATCCTAATTTGAAATTCGCGATATGTTGTTTTCTGCAATGCTAGTTAATTCAATTTCAATTACAATACGCGAATGCCTGTAAACATTAATTTATATTTTTAGATACACCAACGATCCTGCTACATATGGTATTGATACTCAGTTCCTATGGGGTAATTCACTGATGATAATTCCTGTTCTAGACGAAGTGAGTTAATAATCACGCTGTAAAATTATATTTAATAAAGAAATAATTTACAATATTATAATTTATAATTATAATAAAATAATTTATATGAATCGTTAGGGCAAAACAGAAGTAACAGCTTACTTACCACGTGGACTATGGTATGATTTCTATACTAAAAAAAATGTATTCGCGTTGGGTAAGAATTATACATTAAATGCGCCGCTTGATACTATACCTTTGATGATTTGTGGAGGATCGATACTAGCAATACAAAAACCAGGCAATACCACAACAAGCAGTAGGAAAAACAATTTCGCACTACTGAGTACATTGGATGATAGAAAAAGAGCAAAAGGAGAATTGTATTGGGATGATGGTGAAAGTTCAGGTATACAATAATGACTTTTTTGTCAATTGAATCCCGTTCTATCACGGGTCCCTTCAAAAGTATTTTTACTATTTATATACGTGTGTATTTGTAGATTCATTCGAGAAAGGACAATTTATCTGGTCATTATTCCTTATCGAAAATGATACTTTATCCAGTTCCAAAGTAAAAAAAGGTACTTTTGATGAACGAATTATTTTGGATGAAATACAAATTTGGGGAATAGCTGACGTTTCACAAGTCGTCCTGAATAATCGTCAACAACGATTCGAGTATGACTATGCAACAGATGTAAGTTACTTATGTCCACATTTTAAAATTGTATTGTATTTCCAATTGTAGAAATAGTAATAATTGTAAACGCGATCTTTCAGTATCTGAAAGTGAACGGCTTGGAATTAGACTTGAGAGAAGATTTCTTGCTTTCATGGACATACGTTGACTCTGAATTAGAAGATAACAGTGATAAGAAGTAAATAGGCTGTAACTTTTACCTGACTATAGGTAAGATTGTATATATACGAATGTTATTCTGATATATAAAATAAGTCTCGAACGTTTTTTTATATTATTTTTATTCATCCATATTTGTATACATATATATTTTCTATTTGTATGTTAAACTATATATTATATTGAATAAAGAAAACAAAAAAAAGGAAACCATTTTTAATTTCAACGTTTATGGCACTATAACGAAAAAAACAATAAATATAATTTTTAATTTTTTTAAATAATTAATTCCGCTCGGACCTTACAGGAAAAGAGTGTAATGCGAATATAATAAAGCTTCCGTCTTTAAAATGACGATAAAAGTAACAATACAGTTAGTCAGTCGTATTGCGGCATTGGTAACAGAATGATCGCTTTGGCACCGTGTAATATAACGCATATAGTAAAAGCATCCCGATCTTTCCGATCAGCACCATCGTTTAAAACGTCGAAATTTTCGTTTCTGTTCTATGCGCATATCTACAATCACGCGAGTACATTCTTTTGACCTCGATCTATATTCAGTAGATTCCCTACGACACTTATTTGCATTTCCATAGCAGACAAAAGAGGTGATTTTGATCTTTTCGGAATAAATTTCGAAGCAACATTGACGTCGCACGGTCCCTGTACATACATACATATCTCTCGCTTCTACTGTACTTAGAATCCTATAACTGAAGAGAATTTTTTTGACGGATGTACGTGAAACACGCGCTTTAAATAAACGAATGACCATATAAAAACAATTTTTCTCCCATGCTCTTTGATAGAACCAAAGGCATGAGAAACAAGTATTATCGCGTTTTTTGTTTACAATTTCAACGAAGCTCGTGCAACAAACGAGTACAAAATCAACGCTATACTCATAACATATGATAACATAATATTTCAAGTATTTATAGAGTACGCGAAATACAATACTATGCGATGGTACAATAAAAAACACATAATCGCATAATCGCTCATATATCTTTCTGTTTGCATCGCATACTAACATACAGTGGCGTACTTTTGCATATGCGGTCGAGGTGGCCGTTTCGACTTCCGCAAACCAGTTGTTCTCACACGATACTACGGCTATATAAAAATCTCGTAAAAATATTGATAATCTCTTTTCGTTGATATCGAAGAAACCTAAAAGGATAGCATGAGAATCCTTTTTAATTCAAGATTAATTCACGAATGGCAAATGATAATAATTATTTTGTTAGCGTAGCATCTCGAACGCTAAGTCCGCCACTGTTAACATAACATAGTAACATACTTAATATGTATATATATATATGCAATGCATGTACATTGTACGTATGTATATATAATGTATATATATATTTTTTAATTCTTTCTTCATTTATATTAATTTTGCAACCTTCATCATTATTGTCTGCTCACATTTACTTATACCGATCTAAAAGATGTCACATTTCCAAACTACAGTGTTTACGATCGATTAACCGAGTTAACGTATCAACATCGATATCCAGGGTTACGTATTGAAATTAATGAATATGCACTAGTAATAATTACGCAATATAATGAACACAAGAAAAGGCCCGTGATAATACGCGGCTTAGACAAAGAAGTTTCACGTTAGAAAACGTGAATGTGTACAGTATAGTGGACAAAATCACGACAATTTTAATGCAGTAATTCTTTGCAGTCTTTGACTAGCATTATGATCTTTGATTTATAATAACGTACCATGATTCCATATGTTATCTTATATTTAGAAAATAATCTTATTTATATCAAGCGATAAAAAGGACAGCAAAAGAGAATCAAACTAATTATTACTGTAAATGTGTAATAATTTTTCTCGATACTATACACATATTGCATTTTAATAATAATGATAATAATAATAACAATAATACAAATAGATATACTATATGTTGCATATTGCATTTCATGTAAAAATGGCAAGAACGAAAAATCGATGAAGTTACGTATTTTTATCATACATACTTTTGTGATACTAATAAGGATGGTGAAACTGCAAATGTTAATGAAACTGAAACGTATGTTGATTTTTTTAGCCTCTTCAAGTATAAAAGATATTTGAATGATTTTCGTAAAGTCGCACTTGAATACATTTACATGTAGCGTATGTATCAGAAAGTTTTCTCTTTTCCTTCGGTTACAAAGTGAATATTTATTTTCCTACAATGAATACTATGCATTGGCTAGAAGAAAATGTTACTTGTTTGTACTACATGAGTTTCTTAATCACCTTTACGCGTATGTATCTTTTTTATAAATACATATCACGATGAATACGTACCTCCGAGCAAATAATACAAACAAGTAAAAAAATGATTAACATTTAACTAGGGCAAGAAGCAAAAGGCATAGGCAACCCTGATGAAAATCGCGTCGCATTAAAAACGTTAAAATAATACCAGATATCATTAAGCATTGGCAGATGAACGAGGATCAACTCGTGAATTCATTCGTTACACATAAATCACAAAATAATTTTACGTAAACGTCTAAATGTTCTTAAATTGTTCATACGAACGGCATGGCACTCGTGCAATTAATTTATCATATACAGAAGATCTAGAATGGATTTCGAAGTTCATTCGATCTAAGATTTAAGCTTATCAATTTAGCCAATTCCTTAATTATGATTTTGTATTCTAAAGAGAATGAACTGGTATAAAATGAGAAACCGTCATTATTGTTACTGGATAATTATTAAAAATATTGCCGTTTGCACTTTCGACTAGCAAATACCAATATCGTTATATAGCAGTATACACAAAGCCATCCGTGCATCGTGATTTTAATAAACAATTACTAAAGGCTCTATCATCCCTACTCTCACCTCTATATGTACCTACTAGTACGACAAACAATAACTGAAATGGTCACAGACATACAAGCGCACACATATACACAAGTGCACGTTTTTCCTTCACCACTTCACAGTTATTTTTGCAATTCGTCTATACTTATTTTTACCTACCAATTACGTAGAAAAATAATAGAAAAATTTTTTATATACGAGGATCGTTCATTTCCAAAGCAGTCTTTAACAATTAATTAAAAAAAAAAGCCTCTGTTTCAGGGTTAAATTGTAATTTCCATGGCGGTTTAAGATAACTTATTTCTTGTTACTCTTTGGTAAATATGTAATGGCAATTATCATTTGATTTAATTGGCATTGAATTAATAAAGTTCATTTACGTAGTAGTAAGCGTTTCTAATATATCCTCGGGAGTTTTGTTTAACTTGCGGAACTTCTCCCAGTGTTCTTTGGGTACCGTCCACTTGAGAAATATCTCAAGATTCTTGGTAAGACGTTCGTGTTCCGAGAGACCGTTGCTCGGGACAGGATCTTTGCCGGCAGATATCAAGCAATCGTGGAGAACATTATCGATCAATCGTTTACCGAATCCCAATTCGTCGAGTCGTTCTTGTTTGCTGATCCTCTTGAGAAGCACAGCGAGCAACAGTCTCATCCTCGCAACAGTCATTACTTTGTACTTCGCAGTTGGCGGCAAAGATTTATCGGTAACGACCTCATTGGGAACCACCTGTGGCGTCGATTGTATGGCCGGCGAGATCGTTATCACGGGCACCGTGTCCTTGTTACAATTATCCGAAGTTCCGAGTTTGCTTTCCGATCCAGCTTGGCAAGTCTTCTCGTGGCTCTCGAGATCGCTCTTCATCTTAAAGAAAGTGTTACACCTTTTGCAGTTGTACGGGTCGTCCCTTCCGTGTATACACTTCATGTGTTTCTTCCAATGGGGTAGTTGCGTAAAACCTGCGTTACATTCGGCGCACTTGAACGGTCTTTCGCCGGTGTGTCTTCGCGTGTGAAGTTTAAGCGCCGTTGAATGGGCGAACGCCTGCCAGCATACTAGACACCTGAAGGGTCTCTGCCCCGAATGCGTTCTCTGATGAACGGTCAGTTGTGATTTTTGTGCGAATCGTTGGCCACACGTGGCGCAACCATGCGGTCGGTCGCGCGCGTGCGTTCTCATGTGTTGAGGTAAGTGACCCTTGAATGTCTTGTTGCAGATCGCGCAAAAGTACGATTTCACGTCCCTGTGGAGGCAATCGAGATGTTTTTTGAGTGCATCTCGGCGAACGAACGCTCGACCACAAAGCTCGCACTTGTAGTCCTTTTGACCATTGTGCCGTTTTAAGTGTAGCGTCAAATTCGCAGCACACGTGAACATACCGGGACATAATTCGCAACGAAATGGCTTTATTTGACTGTGAGTGGAACGATGTGAAACTAATTGTCCTGCTCTAGCGAAACACTTTCCGCAGTCCACACATTTGTGCGGCTTGAATCCGGTGTGAATTCTTATGTGTAACTTCACTCGTTCCTTCAAAGGGAACTCTTTACCGCAATAGTCGCACTTGAAACTCGGTCCAGTTTCGTGTGCTATCTTGTAATGATTACGGAGACCAGCGCTACCTTTGAATCGTGCGTCACATAGAATGCAACAATAATTCTTCTCCTCATTCTTCTGCGACGATGTTCCAGCACCACGCGCGGCACGTCTCAGCACCATACCCTTCCGCCCGTTTTCACTGTCACTTACATTTTCCTTTTTTGAAGACGAAGATGATGATGACAACGATGATTCGATGAGAGCCACGTTATCAATAGTATCTGACTCGTTCGTATAATTCTCTTCAACCCTAAATCGACTCGAATTATTATTCTCATTCTCAATGACACAATTCAGTGATATCGTTTGAACGTCTATCTTTGATTCATTAAATGAATTCTCCAGCAACATTCTTGTATTTTTCTTCATGTCTGAAGAAATCCCAACTCGTTCGAGTAGCGCACCGTCGGTAGTCCTCGAAGAATCATTTTCACAAATTCTTCCAGTATCGTCCGAGCTTATCCGTCGTCTTTGTCTATCATCTACTATTTCACGACCAGATATATAAATTTCATCGTTCAAATGACTGTTTTTGTCAAGATCCAAATAAGTCTTCGATTCTTCTTGTTCGTTAAATTCTGACAGATCTCCTTTATCATCTTGTACAAATATAATTTCATGTTTTTGAATTTTATCCGTCGCGACCTTCTCTTTTCGTGATTTTGAATCACTATCGTTTATCGATTTTGTAATCACGCGCTTTCGTCTTCTATCCCTCAATCTGGTTTCAATCGTGGACTTTTGATTGTCAGTTTTGTCTTTCTCACCGTTCTCGATACCATCGATCATATATTTATCGCACACACGGATTTTCCTCCTTCGCACTTTATCTCCCTGCCACTGTTTATCATTATCCTGTTTTCCTTGTTCAGTTTGTCCGATTCTTTTACAAAACGGCGAATTTTGTGAACGAAGTTCGTGCTCGACGTGATCGATACAACTATCGGTGGTGAAACTCTGAAGTAGTTTCAAGGCATCGGTTGCGTCTGAATTTTTATAAACACCATTTTCTCTGATTCGTGACTGTTTCACCGGCAACAATTCCGTGAGTTGAACTTCCTCTTGCTGCAGTTGGTCGTTTTCAGCCACTTGACTCGAAATAGTCTGTTGCATATCGATCGTAGCCATTTATAATGAATTTTCTTCTATACCGCCTGTCCTCTATCTCGATTACTTTCAAGAGACTTCGATGCTGATACATTAATTATCGAAACGCGAGTCAATTAGAAATTCTATTACTTTTAGCATTTAAAATTTAGTCAGTCTTAAAATCGTGTAATGCACTCATTTTTGGGTTTGATTCTAGCTTTAGCGCAGAGTTTATTTCTTGTAAATGTCGTTAGGAACAGGAGAGGCAGAGAGGCACATGCGCACGTTCGTGAAGTAACTACTCGGTTATCGTACTCTTATCGTTTCAATATTCCCTCTCCCTCCCTCCTTCTTCCTACTCTACCCTCTATATTTGCGTTTTCTTTCCTCTTTCATTCACTCACTCCGGCGCCTCTTACACGATTTATTAATATTACCGACTCGAAATATTCTTAATTTTTAGTTCGCCTCAATACGAATTAATACAGTTCCAATCCTAATATTTATCGAAATCCAAGGAATAATATAAACGGCGAATAGAGTAAGAAGAATGACAAGGAGGAACGATCATCTCTAAGAAACTGCCGGGCGCGTACTTTTCCCCTTCTTACTTACGATTCCAATTCACGTATAAAAACGATAATTTCCTTTATGTGTTAGCTCTCTGAGAACACGCACTTAGTTGTTGCGCGCATTGGAATCACCGAGAGTCTCGGAAGTACGGACTGAGAGAAGTATCGAGCGAGCTAAGAACGGAAGTCGGAAGTGAGTTCAACGTCGGTCAAGAATTTAGAAGAGAAGTTTAATTAACATATAGGTCGTGTATATGTGCGTGAATACACGGAGTTTCCCCTTCTTGTTGAAAAAAACGATCGACGTTTGCAGGAGGAATGTCAATCGCGAAATAACTACGCCGGCCATACATATGTATATGTATAAGAGCGACGTGTAGGAGAAACGACAGGGTTGTTACTCCTCGATGCTGGTCGTCGCGACGATCGACTGACTGCCTCTTCCCCGTAGCTCTGTTTCCTTGACGGCGATTGCGCGCCTTTTTCCACGCAAGCGCAATTTGTGCTTGGTCGATATCGGTCCGAATTTAACCCCTCCGCCCTAACATTCTCTTTCTTTGTCCTTTTCATTCGTCCAACCCTTTACTCTCGATTCTTTATAATTTTCCGGAGACCATTTTCATGCCATGTGTTACTTGACTACATATTCAATGCGGCGTTATCCAACGATTTTGCACTGTTCTCTATCTGTATCGAAATGATCGTCGTTTGTTGAATGAATATCAAAGGATACGATCAAAGGTGCATCGATGTTACCAGACGATTTGATATGCTTCACGATTTCAGAGGATGTTGCTTCTAGCAGCATGCGCGCACGAGCTGTTCACCAGTCGTACTGTTTATGCATTTCATTTTTCATTTACGCATTTGACGCAACAATTTCTCGTGTGATTTTTATATTTTTTTATCTTTCAGTCCTAATTGTAATCTTATTTGTTACTGTTTTCCTCGGTGATACAACTACGATTAACGATTTCTTTGGTAATACTATTGAATAGGAACGATGTTTCATCGTTATTTTCGTGGCGCGATCACCGATGCGGAATCTTCAGGTTTACTTTTTTTCTCTTCGTCGTAAGTGCGAAGATAAAATCTCGATTTGGCGAAATTCGTTTATCGTGCTTCTATATATTTGCGCTTGCACGTTTCGAGTTCGTCGTATAATCTTTTCTTATCTCGACGACTCGTCATAATTTCCTGTTTAAGAAGTAAGTCTTCCTGTCTTGACTAGATTGCACGCGCGTTAACTTTCCGCGAACAAGAGTACTCCGTTTTCTTTTTTTCATTAATCGCAGAGACATTTGTACGTCACTTCTGTCTCGATTAGTAAATCGTGTTAGTAGTCATACAGCCTTTCCCCTTTAAATCTGTCCCATGGTTAGCGTGAAAACTGAAGAACCCACCACCATCTGAAAGAAACCAAGAGAAATACCGCTGGTATTTCTTCGTCGCTTTTAATCTACTCAAGTTATTATCTTGTAATTTGAAGTGAATTTGTGATTTTATCAATTAAATCAAGCGTCTCGATCAATCAGTCAATGAATCGATTAATGTACGATGCACCTTTTTAAAAATATCGCGGACTTCATGCGCTTTCGTTTACGAATATTGCGATACACTCATTATTATAAACGCAACTTCACTAAATTTCGGCAATAGAATTCCATTGTTTTACTATAACAATACATTGAAAAACCGTGAAATCACAATAAATAGTAATTCGTTTTGAACTTATGATCTCGTAGCTTATTTGTACGGTAAACTTAACTACGGTCATCAATTATCGAGTGATGAGAAGAATATTATTTTGTGAAACTTTTTGCACAGTACAAAGTGTAAATGAATAATTCCAATGAGATGTATACGAAATCGTCCGAGATAAATGTGAAGCAAAAAAATACAACACTTCTATTAATTGAAATAAGTATTGAAAAAGTTTAAGAATCTATGAGATCGTGTTCTTCGTAATTCCAATCTTTCGCAAACCGTTTCCATAATAAGCGCCATGATAAATAATTCTACGCAACGTTAATTCCAGTTGCATAAGTTGATTTACGTTAAGATTAATTTTATTAGTACTTTGAAACAAGAAAGCTAAACAATTGAAAACCTTGTCGCTTGTCGGGTCGGGACGGAATAAATTAAACCGATTGCTTAAGCTCGAACCATTTCCCGTGTCTCTCGCTTACAATTAGATCAAGCTTGCGATCTTTCGCAAGCACATAAGTTTGTGCGTGCGTTTGTTCATGAATATTCCTGTCTGCATAGAGAGGCTCGCTATAGACATAGACCCCGTGCTCTCGTTTCATCGCGACGTGACACACGTTTGTGCAACGCATTGAACTTCCCAGGCTGGAAAGAGAGACGGGTTGCACACACGTATATGTAAGAAGTATATACATATACATAACGCGTATCGCGAGATTTCATCGCTCTTGACTAGTGTAAATTTCCCGCCAGTTCGAGCCCTATCCCAGTGACCAGGTTGCTAAACGAGTTATGTTCAATTATACGCGATAACACTACTTTTTACTCACCAGACACAGCGAGACTCGAAATATCAGCTGCCGCAGCAAGAAGAAGGCTTCCTCGCGAAGCATCCGTTCAACCCTACCCTTCTATCGCCATCTTCGAATCACGTTCGACTTTGTCGATGAAGTTCTCGAGAGCCGAGTAGAGGGGCGAAATAATCTAGAATGCTGTACCCTATTTTTCCAACAGATGGCACGAAGATTCATTTAAAGCTTGCGTAAGACCACCGAGGAGTGCCAAAACGTGAATTCTAAATAGAATGTATGTAAATATTCTTGTTTATTCTTAAAACAATATTCTAGACGATAAAATAATATATGATTCTTGACTCTGAATTTAATGTTATTTTTTCTGGGTTGAAATTGTGGTTCAACAAGGTGTCTGTTATTCCTATTGTTTTTTTATTAGTATCTATTTTAATTATAAACAATATAAATAAACTGATCACGTACATTCTACGGATTCGTTGAAAATCTCAAATTGCATAATAATTATTTTGAAATTCTATTATCAAAAGTGATGAAATCTTGCTTGTCGTAAATGATGTCGTAATGATGACTTATATTACCAGGCTATTGAAATCACTACGATGTAGTAGAAAAACTAAAGACATATGATACGAATTTGTTCCTAGTTTTTATACAGAATGTTATGATTTTTAATAATCATTACTTACAAACGAAAATAATACATTTGTTCGATTAAGTGTGCAAATTAACGTCTGAAAGTGGGAAAAGTGTTTTGAAATACGAATGGACGCCATTGTTACCGCGAAAGCCGAAGAACGACGGAAACAAACGAAGCTGGATTATAGGAGACGAGAATTCGGACTGCAAACGCGAGTGCCAGTGCGGACGATACAGACGGTGTGTGAGCAAGTTTATCGAGAGGAAGAGAGAAAGATGAAAAAAATAAGGGAGAACGTGTGGCGATCCTACTAGATTTTTAGTAAACTGTCAGTCGAAACTTCCGCTCTTTCTCTATGGATTGTGTGAAAGTAGTGATTCGTGAGTGACGTGTCTGCCAAGCTCGCTACATCTCAATCGGCATCTTTGCGCTTCTTTTCTGGCCATTCTTTCGTTTCGTCGGAACGGTCTCGTACTCTGATACTCTCGTTAGCTCGCAGTCGGTCGGGGTTATATGCATACGTCGTGCGTGCTCAACGAATTGTGTGTCCTCTCACGTGAACGACGATAACGGCGAGTTTTACGAAAAGTTGACGGCGCTGGCAATGTTAACGGTGACAATGCGACAACTGACGTTTCGTTTCTGATCGACTGTGTCGCGTGTGTATACCACCAGTTGCGTGTACGTTGCGTAACTACGATTTTACGACAGCTACCTCGTCGTCGTCAGTTTAAATACAAGTTCAACACTGTTGGACATCTTATTTCAACTCTTATTAACGACAATTAATCAACGTCAACAAAGGGTAAGTGTTTCTCAAATAATCACACACATTATTGCATCGTATGTATTTGATATAATTTCCATGTTTGATTTTATTGAACTACTAAGTAAGTATTATCTATTATACCAAGTTATCTGAGTATGTGATTATCTAATACAAGCACAGTCGTTTTGCTTTAATAAAAATGCATCTATAAATCTTAGATTTCTACTTGGATAACTCTTGATTCAATTCCAATACATGTCTGAGTGATTTTGAATAACAGACAAAAGTCAAGCTTGTTGAAAGCAGATAGTTTTACAATATACGATATGTTTATAGTTAGTCGTCAAGTGATCGCATGCACCCGACGACCGGCGCTAAAGATAAAAGAAACGAATTTAATTTATATGTACTTTAATCGTTATTTAATTAATTTTAAGTGAAATTATAGAAGGTAAAAGTTGTGCACTGAATTTTATGTTCACATTGCAATGCTGGCGATGTGTAATTGACGTCAAGAGAAAAGCTGTTATATGATGTATATGTATACAAACATAAACGTTGTGCATATTGCATGTATACATATATGTACATGTATACGTATATGTAGAGTAGATACTATAAATTGCGTCGTAGAACAACTTGCACAATTTGCAAGCGTTAACATATGTGATCGAACTTGAACGAAATCGCGTGATTATTATAATGTTTGTACGTGCTGCATTTATGAAACTATTCACTGCTCGATCTACATATATAGATATTTTTCCTTTTCTTTATGCACAGTTTTTATCGTGTGCTAGAAAAATGGATAATCAATGTTTACATTTATATGTTGTGGTTTAAGTGAAATCTGAATCGTGTTGAGGCTCGTATCGAACGAAATTTTAATAGTCTTTTACAGTTTTCTTTATTTTATGTAACAAACGTAGTTTAAAAGAAAAATTCAAAGTGTTTACTGTTTCATATTCTCTTGAATGATTAACCATGAAGTCGAATTGGCTTGTGAACAAAAGTCATTATAAAAAGGAATATGTAAGTATTATTACAATCGAAGTGTTAAAAATGTTTATGATGCAAGAAAGAATTACGTGTATGTTTTTCGAAACGTCGATTAATGACTGAGAGTCACTGTTCGAATGAACTTCATTAATCTGAACGCGGTCAGGTCTTGGATTCTGTATCTCGTATACGTGCATCCGACATAGCGCGTTTTCCTGCATCACGTGTGTACTTTTGCTGCATTTAAATAGTATGCGCACACATGCTGTACGCTGATCACACGGAACGTCTCGGTTTTTAAATATATTCACACACGAACTTCTATTCGTTTTGACATTTTGAATGTGTTGACGCTCGCACACATTTCTTTTCAATTCCCTACTTATTCATCGATTCTTTCCTCCAATCTCCATATCTTAAGAATTGCATGCTATTTGTATAATATTATTCCATTTTTCCTTACAGCTTGTTTCATTCTCCTATAATCGTTTCTTTTTTATGCTCGCTACTTTTACAATTATTTGTCGATTCTTTTTATATAATAGCCATAAATGTAAAGGTAATGCAATAATATTTCCATATCTGTACTCCCCGAGTATATATATTTTTACACATTAGGTTTGACTAATTTAAAATATAATTTTTTATCTAGAATATGTAGGCACAGTGATAATCGCAACTTTCACGTGGCCGCACACTTCAATTGATAGGTTTGCAGTGCATGATATATTTGAGCAAACTGTCGCCTGGGATTAGAAGTATTAGCAATAATCATTATTCAATCAAGTTTTTTCTTTTATATTCTCTTTATATTTTACACATTATTCTAGCAAAAGCGAGACAGGTTTCAAAGTAAAATGTTATTTACATGATGCGTTGTAGAGCAGGAAGAAAAATCTTGAGGAAATAATACAAATACAATATAGATGATATATAGGTTTAAAAGAGAAAGGGATGACTCTCAACAGTTCGGTCTTTCTTAAGTCAAGGACTAAACTGAGTTAAAGCGCTCTTAAGGCTAGTACAGGGTGTTAACCTTTTGCTCTCTTGCTAGCTCATCTGTGACAGCTACTTGCCACTAAACGATACACCATCATTTTCCGTAACATTTCAATTTTATGCACGATTTACGACTTCCCCTACCAAACGCCAAGCCGCATTACGACTTCTCATTTCTTAAATTGTTCTTGTACGAATTTCGATTGAATCGAGTCGCTACAGTCTTGTTTAAAAATTGTCGGCTTTAAATTTTTTGTTAACAGTTTCCTTACTTATAATGTATCGACACCCTTGTTTTATTCATTATCCTTTGTAATAAGCGATATCAGAAGCTAGTCTAGATTTAGTTCCACTAAAATTTGATTATACTGCTCAACAGATTACATTTAGTATGTGTGCCATTATAATGCAAATAGCACACGGTTTAATTTACGCTCGTTTCGTCTATGTTCCGTTAACGCATTAACTCGCTTAGATGTAAGTTGCACTAATACTATAATCGAATGAATACACACGGTGGTTATATTTATGTCCCGCGATGGATTTTATAGACACGTACACATTTAATAGGATAATGCGTTTCGCATGCGTGTTATCTATGCATATCGTTGCAGCATCGTGCCAGGAACCAGAGGTATACGTGCACGTGCACGTGGTTACATGTATCGTATGCGTGCATAGACGGCGTGTAGAGAGGCCTGGCAACTGGACTCCCCCCGGGGCGTACATAAATCAGAAACTCAGGTTTAAGCTTAGCTCGAAGCACGATACCAGATATTTAGATGCACTCAGTGTTCCTGAAATAATTCGCCACGAAGTGGTTTATGGAGTTGAGAATTGGGACAATACATTTACTAATGTGCGCGTTGTCATGTCTCTCTATTATTTACTTCATTCTCACATGTACATTTACCACTGTACTTTGTACATCAAAATATTTCATTCCTTGTTCTTGAGTGCAAAACGCAATTATGAACTATTACAAACTGTGAAATGGAAATACCTCAGTCACTGTCATGCGCATTATAATATTAAATAACACCGTTAGTTGGTTGAATTTATCGGTAAACTCTTAGAATTAATAAGCTTGAAACGTGCGAAATTAAATGTTCTCTGTCGGTTGACTTTCAATTTCGGTTATTTAAGTGGATCAGTCGGGTTGTTCGTATGTAGTTGGTGGGACGATAGAAACGAGCAAAGGATGGGAAGGCAGGAGAAGTGAAACTAAAAGAACGAAGGGAGGAAAAGAGGACCCGGAAGGACAGACAGCTCACCTTCTATCGGGCCACTGACTCTCGTCTTCTGTTGCATAACGTTTCACTCGCTATACGGAGAGAATACATCTTATAGGGAGATGCGACTTGAGAGTCACTGGACCGTGTACCGGTTGTTCCACTCGTGGAATGCGGACTAGCCTGTGGTGTACGTGCACATGTATCTACGTATTTACGTTCACGTCCGCGTCCGTATCCTGGCAATATTCCTTCCACCTTTGCGTGTATGTAGAGGCTAGATGCGCGCAACTTTTCGATAGGCTAGCGCGATTCTCCGAATGTTAATAACGAATGAATGTGCTCTCGCACTGCTTAGGGAACTAATTTCTTCGTAGCCAGTGCAACGAACAACTATTTCTTTTTGCTATTATCTAACTCTGTTATACAGGGCAAGTCAATACGAATGTCCAAAATTGTTAAAGTTTAATAAATTGCCTTAACGATCGGATGAATTCTTGTATTTTATCAAGACTTCATAATGAAATCAGTATTCTACTATTTAAAATGATAGCTCTTGTTATTTTCACTCTGCGTTTAACAAAACAAGCGATTTCAACACCGAAGTAATGATGAAAACAGTCTGTACATTTTGATAAAAGTTTACGTCTGATTCTACGTACTACGTATGAAAAAGTATATGAGATAAATAAGAGGAAAGAGAAGAGAAACGCGAGTTCGTCGCATCGTATAAAGAATATACGTATGCATGTGCACGCGAATGCGTTCATAAACAATCGGAGGAAGTTGTAGCGCATAAATATGTAGAGAGTCAGTCGGTTGCGGGCTTGTTGGGCCACTGTATGCAAATTCAACCTATCGGCTATACGGACAGTTGTTAGTTTACGTGAGACCACACGAAATGTTTCCTTTTTTATTTTTTTGTTCGAAGTCACCACAGAGGAAAGAAAAGTATCGAACGGTAGAAACGAGGGTTGCCAGAGTAGAGCCATTTCCTTGTGCTCTTTCGAATCAAACAGAGTAACTTTCCGATCATTCCCGATCACGTGTCTTTTATTATTTTAATAAGAAGTATCACATGTAATTGTTAACTAATAATTGTATTAAGACGTGCTACATTATGAAGATCGTTAAATAAATCTATCTTGGTAATTTGATAAACTAATTGTAAAATGTATTTCTGTTAGGCTTCATACTGAAATCAATAAGCAATGGATATTTCCTATTGACTCACTCTGCATACTTCGAACGATTTTTAATGAATTTGTTAATATTAGAATGAATTAGCTGGTAAAACGAGGCGACTCGAGACCGTCTCTAAGGTAGTTCACAATACCGGAGTTAGAGCGAAGGAACGTGCAATCTACCGTTATTCGCGATGAATCATTCAAACTGATTGCGTTTCCCTTTGCAAGTGATACATAGAACATAAAAAAATCTTATAAAATCGCGATCCATTTTATATATTCAGATCGTCTATGCGTTAACGTATTACATTTAAAAAAAACGCAAGATATTTGAATTCCAATAGAAACTATTTATATCTTCTTTTCATTAGTCTCTGCGTGCGCTATAAATTATTTTATGTTTCTTGTTGTTGCAGATAGATAAGAAAAAGTTGAAGATAAAAACCGAGCGGAGAGCGGAATATTGTTTGAAAATGGCGGCAGGGACGTGTCAATCGGCCTGAGGAAAAATTAAAACAGACACAAGGTAAGCGTTGTAGTACTGTATATTTTTTCCTAATAAATGTCGCATAAGTAGATTGCGTTTTTTTCATACAAAATGAAACATTTCTTATGTC